CCGAAAAATCTCAGGGTGATGCAAGATGAGTTTGATTGTTGGCTGAGAGCAGGTTGCTTGAATTGGTATGCAAGATTCTTGTTCTTCTCGAAAATGACCAAGAAGATGAAGAGAGGGAGAAATCGAGTAGAATGAAATCGAAGAAAAGTTGCAAACGAAGCCGTGGTAGGTAAATAGCCCGAGTTGGCGGGATTGGCCAGTGTTGGTGCTTGCAACAAAGTCCGCTCTACTGGTAATTACAGGGCCCTTTAGCGCCTTGCTCCAGCAGGGAGTGGAATCTTGGGGTGCCGCTCCGGCCTTTCTTCTGCGCCCCATGGAATTCCATCGAAGAACGTCGACCCTGCGGTGGTGCTCATCGTTCAGCCAATCGGAGCGACCTTGTCAATGGTGCTTACTCCGCAGTACATACCGAGCAACCTAGGTACTTGCGCGTTGTGGAAGTGCTTCCGCCATTTTTGGCGGGGCAGGCGCATGGCAAATGTACATGAGTACTTACTGGGTTGCCTCGCGGGATTGGATGATTCAGGTAATCTAAGCACTTGGGTACCTATGTACCTAGTGCCACCTTAACGCCGTGCCGGGCACGCTCACGTTTCCTGTCACTCACTCCAGAGACCGTCCAAGATGGATAATCACAGTTTCCCGTTCCAAAAAAAATTACTCGTTCAACAGTTGTTAAGTAGCTGTGGCGAGAAGGAAACAAGAGGCAAAATAACCACAAAAAAAGAGGGGTATATTGCTCAACAACAAGAAGCCCGGTACCGAAAAAGCACCCAAATATGTAACCTCGACAATACCAGCAGTGACCGAAGTACGACCATAGCATCGCCTCTTCATTTGTACCGTGCAGTCATAATCGCATCGTCCTCCGTGTTGCTTATATACGTGATTCCGTTAAAATGCATCCTCAAAGGGACAGTCAACGCTGTCATGCCCGTCTCGTTCGCATACGGCACACCACTTTTCCGGATCCATAACGCCGCTTTCCTTGCCCGCCACGGGGCCAGACTCCATGGGGTTCGGCATGATTCTGATCGGTGGCGTTGTCTGGGTCGCCGGCTT